TTTTTTTTTTTTTTTGAGACAGGGTCTCAGCATGTAGTTCAGGCTGGCTTTGAACTAAGTAGCCCAGGTTGGCCTTGACTTCATGGCGATCCTCCTGCCTCAGCCTCCCTGTGTGCTGGGACTATAGACATGTGCCACCACACCTGGCCTTCTAGTAGCTCCTGACTAGGGTCCCCTATCCAGCCTCAGCCCCCACCCTGTGGCGCCCCCTCCTGCATTCACGCCGACCCCCTCCCACATTCTGCCATGGCAGAAACGGACCCCAGGTCCCCAGAAACGGACCCCCAGCCCCAGCTACGCGAAATGGCTTTTTCCTTCAGGGTGTTGTAGGCTGTGTGTGTTTGTGTGTGTGTGGCATTGGGGACTGAACCCAGGGCCTCTGCACCCAGCTACAACCTCAGGCCTTTTTATTTTTTATTTTGATGAAGGGTCTCACTAAATTGCCCAGGTAAGACTTGAGATCTTCCTGCCTCAGCCTCCCAGAGAAAGCGGGCATTACAGGTGAGCACCACCAGGCCCAGCTTTGTGGGCTCTTCATCCCCTGCTGCCGTGGTGTGCTCAGCCACAGACTCTCCTGGGGCGTCCCTGGGTGGGTGCCTGTGGGCGCACAGGTGGGAAGGAAGGAAGACTGGGCCGTGGCCCCGTCGAGAAGACTCTCACTGCGCTCTGCAGCCCTTTGACTCCTGCTGTGCCTCTGAGAGCCATGGGCGCTGGGTCCCGGCACCCCAGGACGTTGGCCCGGAGCAGGACGCAGCCCGCGGCATCAGCTCAGCCTGCAGCCGCCCTTCTCCTTGAAGGGGTTGCTGTCCTCCGGGACGCCTCTGAGCAGCGGGTCACTCCCTGCCTGGGCCTCCACGTAGTCCTTGATCTCCTTCCCCGTCTTGGAGATCTGCGAGGGCGGAGAGGGCTCAGCCTCGCCCTTGTCCGGCACCCAGGGTCTGTCAGTCCCGGGCAGGTGGAAGCCAGGCAGAGGCCGAGCAGAGCAGGGCAGAGGGACAAGGCCAGGGGACAGGGAGGGAGGGAGGCGATCCCGACCTGATGCTCACACTTGACCCCGCTCCTTGGCTGTTTTTTGAGACAGGGTCTCACTATATGGCCCAGGCTGGCTTCAAAGTCAGTGTGATCCTCCTGCCTCAGCCTCCCGAGTGGATGATGGGTGTGAGTCACCCCTGCACCCACCGCCTGCTCCTAGCCACCCTGGAAAAGCCCCTCCGTCCTTCCACCCTTGAATCCCAGCTCCCGGACAGGAAGGGAGGAGGGAGTCGCCATCAGCCGGCGGGGGCAGGCGACTCACCGGGGCCCTCGGGGTCGTCACCTCCCTCTTCAGCTGCTCCACCTCCATCCGCAGCAGCTCCTTTTCGCTGAGGTCCTGGGCCATGGTGGCCTGGAGACACCTGGGCGGAGAGGGGCGGGTGGTGTCAGCTCCCCAGCCCCACCAAACCCTAGCTGGGCTTCACTCTGCTCCCACCAGAGGTGTAGGCTTGGGGGACAGGACAAGCCCAGGCAGAAAGACAAGGCACAGTTTTTGCCCTCCGTCAGGCATGATGGAGCGCATCTCTCATCCCAGCACTCGTGAGGCTGAGGCGGGAGGATCCTGTAAGTTTGAGGGCAGGCTACACAGTGAACTTAAGACCAGCCTGGACTGCAGAGGGAGACTCTGCCTCAAAACAAAACAAGATTTTTGCCCTGGGATAAGGGCTCATTGAAGGAGGAATCAGGACAGAAAAAAGCAATTTCTTTCACTGAGAAAGATTTGGAAACAAAGTTATTATTCCACGGATGGCTCAGGTCACTGTTCTCTTTGTGGTCCCCAGCAGTAAACTCAGGAGAAGAGCAGGGCTTCCGAGCTACCAGACACCAGCTCTGACCCAGCTCAGTGGCTTCCTTGCCGGGTGACCAGCATTCGCAATTTCTGAGACATCAGAAGAGACACCCCCAGTCTCAATTTCTCCATCAGCAAAATGGGTATAAAATACTGGTAATACCCACTTCACATGATTATTGTTCTAAGCAGATGATGCACAAAAACTCTTCAACATACTGCCTAGAACAAAATACACATAATTCTGCTTATTATTACTGATAATAATATTGTTATTAGTCCAGGCATGATGGTATATGCCTGTAATCCTAGCACTCAGGGAGGCTGAGGCAGGAGGATCTCAAATTCAAACTCAGCCTGGGCAACTTAGTACCTTAGTGAGAACTTGTCTCAAAATAAAAAATAGAAAAAGCTGGGGATGGACCTCAAAGAGAAGGTCTGGGTTCAAGCCCCAGTCAGTACCACAATATACAGCCTCTATGGTCACTGCAGGGTACGGGAAGGCCTGGCGCCTCACCTCTGCAACACGTGCCCCAGGCCCCAGCCCCGAGCAACCTCAGCCCCTCACCTGCTGGGACGAGCACGCTGGCCGCGGTCCCCGTGACCTCCCAGGATGCAGCCGAGGTGCAGTCTGAGCAGCCGCTCCTCGGGGAGATCTTGGGATAAAGCAGATGGCCTGTGGCGGATTCTGGGCCTAAACCGATCACCGGCTCAAGGCTCTAAGCTGGGCCCCGCCTGAGCTGCCAGCCCTGAGGCCTCCTGAGCCGCAGAGGGACGTTGCCCTCTGCCCGCAGACACGGCAGGGAACCGAGGTGCCTGGGTGCGTCCTCAGCTTTGTCCTCACGCGCTGTCCAGCACCCCGCTCCTCTAGGACCTCCCAGCCCACACGCTCCCTGCCTGCCTGTCCCCCACTCTTTTTTGTCTGGAGACAGCATCAAGCTGTGTAGCCCAGGCTGGCCTCAAAGTCAAGGTGATCCTCCTGCCTCAGCCTCTGGAGTGCTGGGATCACAAGTGCGGGTCACCCTTGTCTGAACAGCTGGTCTCTCTTGGGCCCTCCACGACCTGGGGACCTGAGCCCTGCTCTGGCCCACGCCGCCCTCCCCTGTGTCCCTCGCCACTGCTACCTGAAACCAGCAAGCTCGCCTGGACCTTGAGCCTGCTATTGTCTCAAATGCAAGTCCCCAGTGCTAACCAGAGCCCCTCACACTCGGTCAATTTCTTTCTCAGGGGGCGGGGTAAGTAAAACAGGGTCTCACCTCGGAGTTCTTTCAGGCTGGCCCTGAACTCACTGTGTAGTCCAGGGTGACCTCGAACTCCTGGTGACCCTCCTGCCTCAGCCTCCCAAGTGCTGGGATCACAGGCCTGAGCCACCACTCAGTGGCCGGTTTCATCGTGTCCTGCTTCCATCAGGCCTGGAGCCGGTGCACCAGCCCCCAGCTTCACACCTGACCCCTCCTGGGCTTGACAACCCACCTGAGGGGGCCGCCTGCGCTTCCTGCAGTCTAAGCCGGCAGGAGGCTGGACCTCACTATCCTGCGCACCCTGCTGCCCTCCGAGCCTTGGTGACTCAGCCCGTGCTTCCCAAGGAAGCGCAGCCCGCGCCCTTTCCTCTGCTCTTCCCTGAGTGGAAAATGCACCCCCATGGCCAGCCACCCCCTTCCTCCTCTGTCCCCCCAGTCCCCACCCACCAGTTTCCTCCCCGGCCCGGGAGGCGGCAATCACAGCCGCAGACCTCGGCTTCCTCTGCCGTGGGCCTGGGGTGGGCGGCGCACGCGCACTTCCTCCCGGCCCGGAACACCAGCGTCTGTCTGCCCCAAGGCCCAGCGTTCGAGTCTCCGGAGAGGAAGCCCAGAGCAGCCGCGGCGGAGCCGGAGACACCGGGCCCGCGGCCGGGCCATGGCCGAGCTGCAGCAGCTGCAGGACTTCGAGATCCCCACGGGCCGGGAGGCGCTGCGCGGGAACCACAGCGCCCTGCTGCGGGTCGCCGACTACTGCGAGGACAACTACGTGCAGGTGGGTGGGGGTGCGGCGACACCCGCGCCGGGGGACCCCGAGCCCGGCCTGGCCCTGCAGGACCTCCGGGGACAACGAACGGCAGGTGCTGGTTCTGGGCCTCGGCCCACACGCCACCCCCGCCCCCCGGGCTTCAGCCTCTCCCAGTCCCCAAACGCAGCCGGACCCTGTGTTACCCAGGTGCCCCCGGGCTCCTCGCTCTGCCGGCGCCTGGGAGGTTGGGGACCCTGGTCGGCTCTCGGTGAGACTGTGGACCCCCGACCTGCTGGTGATCTTGCCCCAGACAAGGGAAAGGGTGCCTTGGTATGCAGGGGAGAGTGGAGAAGTCAGAGCAGCTTGGGTTGGAGGGGAGGCCTGACCCGGTGGAGGCTGAGGCAGGAGGATCTCAAGTTCAAGCCCAGCCTGGGCAACCTAGCAACTTAGGTAGACCCAGTCTCAAAATAAAAACGGGCTGGCGGTGTGTGTAGCTCCGCAGAGAGGCAATCCCCAGCACTGCAAAGACATAAGCAACAGAGGGGCTGAGGCAGAGGTCGGGGCGTCCGAGTGACTGCTGACAGCGAGGGTGGAGGTGCTGTGGAGGTGTCTTGCACGTCGTGCGGCTGTGCCCGGACTGAGACAGATTCCCGGTGATGACAGAGGGGCGGGGGTCCGAGTGACAGCAGCTCTGCCCCTGTGCCCGCCGCGTCCTGTGAGACGAGGACCAAGCTTCCTGTTTCACAGTCGGCGCTCTGTGAGAAGTGCTGCGGAGCGAGCGTCGCCAGGGCCTCCCAGCCTGGGCCTCTGCTCACTGGGCCTCTGGCTCCCTCCTTGCCATTTGAGTGACTTTAAGACAGCTTTTTGGCAGGCTGTGCCCTTGCCTTAAACCTGTTACCAGTTGGGCAAAACTTTATTTTTCTTCTTGTTTTGGCTTAGTTTGAGACAGGGTCTCACTATGTAGCCCAGGCTGGCCTTGAACTCAGGGCGATCCTCCTGCCTCAGCCTCCTGAGTGCTGGGATGACAGGCCCCAACCACTGTCAGGAACCGGTGGGACAGGACAAGGCAAACAGGGTGAGCCCGGAGCGCCGTCAGGGCCCACTAGGTTTGCAGAGGGGCGATTTGCATGGCAAACAGATGTGACCCAGACCCTTTTTCTCCGGGCCAGTCCTGGGCCAAGACCAAAGCCTGGGTCAGAAGGGCCCAGGCACCCAGAGCGGACACCACTTCCGCTGGGGGGACAATTCCAAGTCCCAGTCTTGGGGTACTGTCTGGGAGAAGAGGGGGAGCCAAGAAACCCAGTGGGCCCCCAGGGGCCGTTACAGTTGGGCTCTGGGCCAGACTCCTCATCTACTAGAGGACATTCTTGTGCTGGGAGACCTCTGTCCTCCTGGCTAAACATCCGCCTCTGCCTGCTCTAGGCTCTGATGCATATGCTGATGAGATGCAAATGAGCATGTGAATGAGCATCGCTTTGCTGCTGTTGGAAGAGGGCTTCCCAGAAGGCTCGGGCTCAGCAGACAGTGGGGGCAGCCAGGTCTCTCGGCCTTCGGCTTTGATGGTTCGGGAGGCTGAGGCAGGAGGACTGCTATGAGACTGAGACCAGCCTCAGCTAGGTAGGAGACCTTGTCTCAAGTAAATAAAATCAAGAACAGAACTTCTCCGGTCTTCAGTGGCTCCCTGCCTGGCCCCAGCCCCATGGACTGGCAGCATGACCCCGAGCGGTGCCCAGCAGTGTTTGGGCTCCCCTTGGATCTGTTCATCCGCCCACAAATGCCTCGGTATTAGCTATCTGCTGTGAGTTGGGCATAACCTAGGGTAGGATGCAGAATAGAACAGGCTAGCTCTTCAATTGATTCTTCTCAGGTATTGAGGAAGGAGAAACAGATAATAACGAAGTAAACAGCTGGGTGTGCTGGTGCACGCCTGTAATCCCAGTACTCTGGGAAGCTGAGGCAGGAGGATCACAAGTTCAAGCCTAGCCTCAGCAACTCACACATTAAACAAGATCTGGCCTCGAAATTAAAAATAAACAAACAGATCGAAAGAAAGGGCTGGGAATGCAGCTTGGTGCAAAGGTCCTGGGTTCAATCCTCAGTACTGCACAACAAATAAAGAAGTGAATAGTGTTTGATCACACTAAACCGTAGGAAGAAAAAAAGGGAAATGAGATTGTGAGTCAGAAGAGAGCAGGGCAGGGGGTCTTAGGGTGGAGAGGAAGGTGTTTCGGGGAAGCTGAAACCTAGGAATGAGAAGGTTCCAGGAAACGCAGCAAGTGCAAAGGCCCCGAGGCAGGGACAGCCAAGCTGGTCCAGAGCCAGACCCTGGCGTGGCTGGGGTGGGGGAGCAAGCAAGACGGGAGCCACAGGAAGGGGGGCAAAGAGCAGGGAGTCCGACCCAAAGGGCTGTCTGCAGGCTGTAGTTGGGAGCCGGGATTCTATTCTCAGGGCACTGGGAGGCAGTGCTTCCTGCCCTATCTCCTTATCTGAGCTCCCAAACACCAACCTGGGTCTGGGGCGAAACAAGAAGTGAGGTGTTGCTTGGGAGCTTTGAAAGACACAGATGCTTGGGTGTCACCCTTAGGGGGCTCCAGGCTGAAGGTCTGGGGTAGGGGCCTGAGATTGATTTGTGTGTTTTCATTTCCATTTTTGTTTGAGACAGGGTCTCGCTGTGTACCCCAGGTTGGCCTCGGAATCGCAGCGATCCTCCTGCCTCAGCCTCCCCAGTCCTGGGGTCACAGGCGTGTGCCACCACACCCGGCTTCTGGGCTTGTTTTTGAATTGAAGCCGGTGCCCTCCAGCCAGCATGGCATGGGCTTCCTCTTTCCTCCCGACTGCCCCCCACCCCATAGGGCCACGCACTCCCCTAGTCCCCAGGAGGACGGGGAGGTGGTCCCTGTTCCCGCCCCCGCCTTGGCACACTGCAAGGCTGCAGGCGGCTTTCCCGATGTCCTCAGTCCTTCTTACCACGCCATTCTCCAGGAAGCTACCCTCCCTGGACATCTCAGGCTGTCCCCAGATCCCTTCCCACCATTCCCAGAGCCGCCTGGCCCTGTGGGGGGCGCTGGCCTCAGACCAGAGCTGTGTGTGTTTCAGGCCACGGACAAGCGGAAGGCGCTGGAGGAGACCATGGCCTTCGCCACTCAGGCCCTGGCCAGTGTCGCCTACCAGGTGGGGAACCTGGCTGGACACACGCTGCGCATGCTGGACCTGCAAGGCGCAGCCCTGAGGCAGGTGGAGGCCCGGGTGAGCACGCTGGGCCAGGTAAGGGTGTGGGCAGGGTTCCGCCATCAGCCCCACTCACTGCAGCGCAAGTTCCTTCTCAGCCTGGCTGGTGATGTACACCTGTGATCCCAGTGCTCAGGAGGCTGAGGCAGGAGGCTCCTCCCTCAATTCAAGCCCAGCCTGAGCTACACAGAGACCCTGTCTTATACACACCCTATGCTCGGGGTGCTTGCTGGGCAGGTCGCCTCCAGCCCTGCAGGCACTGTCACTGCTTCCAGGGTCCCCGCCCTGTCGCATCCGCCTGCCTCCTTCCTTCCTGGGCCTTGACCCCGGGATGGCCAAGTATTGCACGCCTGGGCCAGGTCCAGCATCGCCTGGACCTCGTGTGGGGTGTGTCTTCCTGTGCCCCTCGGGGCCATGGCTTCTCCCCAGCTTCCAAGCGGAAGTGAATCACTCCTGTTCCCCAGCCAGGCCCCAGTCCTGTCCCTCTCAGCAGGCACGGGACAGTTTTCTCCCCTGGCTCCCACTGGGCAGGAAGAGACTTCCATCTCCTCCGCCAGGAAGCTGCTCTGAGGCCTCGCCCTCCGGCCCCTCCCCACCATGGCCCCATACCCCGCACCCGCTTCCTCCCTGGGAAGCCCCACCGGCCTCACCTGTCGTGCACGCAGATGGTGAACATGCACTTGGAGAAGGTGGCCCGAAGGGAGATCGGCACCTTGGCCACTGTACAGCGCCTGTACCCCGGCCAGAAGGTGGTGGCCCCCGAGAGCCTGCCCCCGCTCGAGCCCTACTGCAGGAGACCGATCAACTTCGGCTGCCTGGATGACATCGGCCACGGGGTCAAGGTAGAGAGGGGTCCTTCTCCCCCCTCACCACCTCAGAACCTTCCTTCCTTCTTATTGAGTCTTTGAGAGAGTGTCTCCCTGTGTGGTCCAGGCTGGCTTCAAACTCACGGCGATCCTCCCGCCTCAGCTTCCCCAGAACTGATATTACAGGCATAGGTGCAAGCAGGTCCACCATCCCCCATGTTCTTGTCCCAGCTGGCAGCCCCTCCCTGCCTTCACTCCCTCAGCCATCACCCAGGTCCCCTGACCTTCCTGTGGCCCCCCCACCCCCGGCCTTCACCCCACGCTCAGCCCATCTGCTGAGGATCCCCTGAGCCCCCTCCCTGCACCCCACCCATGGGTGCGGGGTGGGAAGGGGAAGCGGGAAGGAGGATGTCGGGGTGTGCATGAGAACAGTTCCCAGCTGCATGAGAACGGCGGCTTCCTGTCTGGGGTGAGGTCACCACCCGACGCAGCCACCCGGAGCTGTCTGCTGTCTGTCTGTCTGTCCGTGGGAGGGCAGGGTGCAGACACAAGGGGATGCAGGGGAGCGGGGCTGTCACCGGCACTCGCTCACTCCTGTCCTATTTTGTCAGCTGCCACACTGGATCAGATCTGTGTGCAACCAGGTGTGGTGGGCACACCTGTGATCCCAGCCACTTGGGAGGCTGAGGCAGGAGGATCACAGCCAGCTCAGAGCCGGCCTGGACTGCATTATGAGACCCTGTCTCCCTGAACAATGTTTTCGGATGTCTCTAAATGACCCCTTGACATCCCTGACATCTCAGCCCTCCTCGTGGAGGAACAGCACCGGCTCCTTCAGCCACCATGTTCTTCCTGTTATGTTTTCTGGGGGCTCAGGGGACCGAGGCGTTCGCCAGCGCCCAGCGCTGCGGCCCCACGGGGCTGC